TTTTTTTTTTTTTTTTTTTCGCATTTGGAAAAAAGTTTAGATATAATGGTAAAAAAAATTATCACTTTTATTGACAATTTTCATGTAAAACAAAGTCAAACGAATGATATCCGGTATGGTAAATTTTTTTTTTTTTTTTAACAATTGGAACAAAATTTAGACCCAATAGTAGAAAAAATTATCACTTAAATGGAAAAATTCCATAAAAATGAAGCCAAATGGACACCAAATTTTCAACATTTTCCATGAAAAATTATACCAATCAAACACAATTAATTACAATTCTCAGTAAAACATTTTCTAAGAAAATCAATTTCCTGTAAAACATTTTCTTTCCACCAATTTTCCACCCTTGTAATCAAACGGACCCTTAGAGAATTTTCAAAAGTCTACATTGAATACCTCAAAACTTTTTAAATCCCAAAAAGTCATTAAAAATCTTAATTGAATAAACTCTCCTCAATTACAAATCTGGTCACCCACAATGCATCACTACTGCATTTCCACCTTCATCCATCATCTTTCTTCATCATAAAAATAAAAATATCAAATTCCAGTCTTACAGCTAACACACAAAAAGAGGAGAGAAACTACAATGCAATGGTATTAAAATGGCGAAGAGCATTTTGTACTTCAATTTCAAGAGATCAAGAAATAGATTCACCAATCGTCAAAGACAAATCAGACACCAATCCTTCAACGTTGTGCCTCCAATCTCATCCTGTTTCTAGCCCCGATTCCACTGTAGAACCACCGCCTTTGCTCTACAAAACCCAAAACTTCAATGTAAAACAAAAAATAGTTCTAGATTCTTCCACCGCTTCATAAAAGATTTTTAATTTTTGAATTTCTTTTTTTACAAGTTGAAGTGGGGTGGAGTGTCATCTCAAGAAAAAAATTGAAAATTTTTAATAGGTGGGGTAAGGTGAATTTGAAGAGTGAGAGGGGTGGGATATTATTAATTGATATATTATTTATTTGGTGAGGTGTGGATAATTAATTCAAATTAATTATATATTATGTACATTATTAATTGGAATTAATGCCTAAATTTTGAAAAAAATTGGTAGCCCCGTTTGGTCTACATTATTATCTCATTAAAATGAAAAATATGACCATTATTCATCACGTCAATATTTAAATTCAAATTTTCTATCTCTTATGTGATTCCCAATAACGTCTATGTTTTTCATTCTCATTCTACAATAATTTGGCTGGTTTGAAATGTAATTCTTATATACAGGAGTTACACGTAGTTGCCTAAAAAAAATTAAAAATGAAAATTAACAGACACCATCATGGGTTGAGAATTAGAACACTCGAGCTAGTCTTTAGGCAGGCCGTGATGGGCCCAATTCTCCAGAAATCTGATAAAAGCGCAGTTTATATTTTGGAATAAAAGATCATGCGATTTCAATCGAAGAGGATCAGTTATCAGATAGAGAGCAAAAATGGCTGCAGGAATTGCAATGGGAATTGCAGTAGCAAGACAACAAGTATTGCCTGCAGTCAGTGCAGTGAGAGTGGGAGTAAATCTGAATCGAAAAAGTGCTAAATGGTCAATCTTCAGTCAATCGGCTTCCTCTTCCTATTCTTCATCTTCATCGTCGGTGCCAAGAACACTCATATTATATTCCAAGCCTGGATGCTGTTTGTGCGATGGCCTCAAAGAAAAGCTTGATGCTGCATTCGCTCTTTCTGGCCCAAATCCCCTCCATGACGTCCAATTACAGGTTTTACCTCAACTACAATCCATTTTTTGAATTTTGCAGCTTTCTGATTGAAAAGCCACTATCTTTAGATTGTAATGACTCTAATTG